GACATAAGAAAAGCAAAAACAATATTAAAAATATATATTGCTATGTTAACATTTAAACAATACAATAAAATCTAAATAGTGGTTGGAAAGTTGAAAATAAAGGAAAGCAGTGAAGGTTGAATTTATTTACAGTTTAAGGTGCAGGGCCTTTGGGAATACAGTAAATATTACTTTGTCCAAAATAAGCCATGAAAAAAAAATGAAGGTTAGGATGAAATTGGAAATAAAGTAATCAGTGTTGTAACAGTTTTGTCATTAAAGGAAAAGCTAAACGTGAGGCTAAACATGTAATTTGGGGAGTGGGGAAGAGAACACTAATGGAATATGATGACAGAAAAATTATGCCCAGTGATTCATTGCAGAGGAAGTAGATGCTGTGGATAGATTTTTCTTTCTTCCAAAAGGACTTAATGCAGTGTATATTTAATTTAACAGAATATCCTATCCCAAGATGATGACTAGAAGCCTTAAAATGATTTAAGCAAATCAACAGAAAAACAATTTCTCTGTGATTTCTAGCAGAGATAAGTTATTTGATAACTTTGTATTTAAAGGTTAACATTTATAAATGTGGAGCAACCTGTAACACTCAGCGTAATGTTTGCAGATGAATGCCAAGGAAGTTTAAAAGAGAAGAAAAAAGGATGGGAGGGAGAGCTGCAATCTATCACTGACAATAATGGAAGGGAACGAGAGAAGAGCCTCTGCTAATGATGAGTTCAATTTTCTGATAAGAATGATCTGTCCTTCTAGCTGCTGAGTATGGTGGAGGATGTATAAAAGGTTATCATGGAGTTAGAGAAGGGGCAGAGAATAATACCCAAAACAATCAACAGGTTGGAACAATTCTACTGTTGTGAAAGTTTGTAAGATTTGGAACTTGGGGCTTCAAACATAGGCACATAGAGTCATCTAAAGTCACACGTTGTCTTAAGAAAGTGGATGGGAACATTTTATCTGGATCTCATAATGCTGTAACCTGAAAAAAGTGGAAAATTTGAATGGATAAAGGAAATAATTCTTCATATGGCACATAGATTATTCTGGTTCTTACAATAAAATAAAGAGATGGCAAACAACTTCAATGACTTTCAATGGGACTCAAAAAAATGAAGGATAATGCTATCAACAGCTGTTAGTCACAATAATTACTGTAAGATTCCCCCCATATCAGGATAATATGACGCAAATACTGGAGGCTGTGCACAAATAGCAGTGTGATGCTGTGCTCATTCGCTGCTTGGGTATTCAGTGGGTTGACTGCTTTGGGAACAAAGTGATGGATTGCATTTCTGCTTTTTCTTTACTGTGTTCTAATAGAAAAGCATAAAAGTAAATAGTAAAACCCAATATTAATATAACAATCTTATTGAAGTAAGTAGAGTGATTCCATGGAGAAAGAATTAAGGACTTCCTTAATGTTGCCAGTTTACACGGAGTAGGGCAGAAAGAGAGGAGGTAAGAAAGTCCTTCTTCCACATTCCTTTTTTTTTTTTTAAAAAGCTTCCCTTCTAACAATATTTGTGGAAGGAAAAATAACTGCTTCTGTTAGATGTAGTTGCTAGGTCAAGAGAACTACAGAGTTCTGGAATTCAGGGGTTGAAGGTGTCCACCAGTTGTTCCTTGTAGATAGCCAAATGCACTTCCTTCCTCATTGTCAGTGATAAATACTAAGCCAGTGAGCTTTCTTCAGGAATGTTTCAAGAGAGTCAAGAGTCAGTGGACCAGTCTTTCTGCAACATTCTTCAGCTTGGCAGAAGCTATAAAATCTGTTGGACACTATTTATATCGATGCTAAAGTGTGTTGAATATAATCTGAATCTTCTGTGCTTCAGTCATCTTTTCCCCTATCTTCCATCAAGTGGTAAAAAAAGATGACAGACCCATTATTAAATCTAGTGAGATACAAATGAAGAAAATATTGTTGCTATTCATTCTGTTGCACAAAAACTTAAATAACAGAAAATGATTATCTGTAAAAAAAAATACTTAAACCTGAAATCAGAATCATGCATGATAATAGAATGTTTTATTTATCTGCATATATAAAAATAGCATGCATGTCTCTGAAAATAAACTGAGAACATGAATGCTATGCATCTAATTAGGATGTTCCACTTTCTAACAAGAACATCTATTTGAAGTAAAAATCAAGATAGCAGTCCTGTAGCTTTTACAGTTGAGAGCAAGAGAGTGCAAATGCCAAAATGTCATATAAGGGAAAGAATAAGTTGGAATTCTATTTCTTGGTCCAACCTTATAATGCACAGAAAAGAAGAATGTAGGCCTTTATGCCTTATGTTAGTTTTTTTTAAGGTAAAGATGATGATGAGATTAAAATGAAAAAAAGTGTGGAGAAAAGATTGCTTGAATGACCAGCATAATTTGTGTTCCAATAGAGATAATTACTTAGATAAGACTATTAAAAAGGACATTTTGTACATTTATGAGGCATATATTGTTCAAGCTTTCAAGACTTATTAAAAATCATTCCCCATTGTCAAATTGGTGGGGATGGGAGGGAAGAAGGAGAATTTTATGGATTTTTGGCAGGATACTGCTGTTGGTAGTTCTTCTGTAAATCAGAAAGGATCAGAAGGTAAATTTCTACCCATGCTTGCAAATTATCATGGTTAAGGTGATCAGAAACAAGGTATGAAATAGTATCTTTTGAAGCAGTGTACTTTGAAATTCTGCTGTTGAGGATAGCCTCAGTCTTAAATGAGGTAATCCCCAAAGACTGAAAAGACTGAAATCCAAAAATGGCTATTATCAAAAAAGCCTGACAAATTAAAATACTTGAACGCATAATTCAAATCATAATAGCATTTATCCCTTTCAATATAATATTCAATCCCAGCTGTTTTCTGTTAGGGGGAATCCAATAGATAGGTCTATGCAGAAAAATGTAATCAATTGGCACATTAAAACTAAGCTTCAATTTTTAAGGAAGGGTGATTAAACTTCCCTTTCCTTTGGATTATTTCTCTTGCTTTATTTCTAAATACTAAGAATCCAAAATGAATGTGTAGTGATGTATGCAGTTACAGCCACATCTCTCACTATTAAAGGTAAACAAAATCTCTGCTAAGTTTTTAAACCCTATCATGCAGAGCCATCTGCACAGTGATTTAACAGCTGAAACCCTCAATTGTCCACTGACCTATTCATAATGTGTGCTTTGCCTGCCAACCTTTTGTTGTGTGAGAAAGCTGATTAAATTGAAGTTGCATCCAGCTTGTTAGTTGTGTCTTTGTGTAATTTCTGCCAAAAGGTAGCTTTAAATTAATGATTATTAAAATAATTGACAAGAGTAGTTCGGATATTGGATATCTATATTCTATTTATGATATTCATCCAAAATCTTTGTTTTCTTGATATGAAGGAAGTGTCAGTGTAAATTAAGCCTTTGTTTTTTGGGAATTCAATCAGTGGCATTGGAAGAACATTTGAGTCCACTGAATAGTTTTGTTTAGTTTTGAGAAACTTGAAACCTATATTACGTTTTTTCTAAAGACATTATGTCCAAATGCCACATTTTTGGTAGATGTACTATTTTTCTACACCAGTGTTGGCGAACCTTTTTGGCACCGAGTGCCAAAACAGGAGCACACATAGGGGGGAGCACCAGAAACCAGAAGAGCAGCTCCCTGGCGCACGTGTGGGAGCACCAGAAATCGGAAGAGCAGTTTCATGCCATGCATGTGCTCACTGGGAAGCTGAGCTTTTGGTTTATGGCGTGCGCTTGCACGTGGGTCACCTGGTCTTCCGGTTTCTGGCATGCATGTGCGCGTGAAGACCAGCTGGCCTGCACACATGTGCACCCCGGAACCCGGAAGAGCAACAGGTGACGGCTGGCGTGTATGGAGAGATGGCTCTGCGTGCCACTTCTGGCCAAAGGTTCACCATCACGGCCCTAGACTATACTCATAGAAATGGTAGATCATTCCATAATTTGTCACCTTTCTTATTGCAGTTTCAAGCTAGCATCAAGCATAACATTATGCAGATAGTGGTGCCACCTTACTCAAGATAACATCCTCTCAACAAATGATTTTTTTTTATCAGTGTTCCACTTATTCTTGGGATCCAATGATTTCGTAGATGATACTATCAGAAATCTGCAGTAACAGGTAATTTCTTGATTTTACAGCATCTGTAAAATCATTTCATAGAACCACAAAAGTCCTAAATAGAAGGTGAACTAACCCATCTTCCCAAAAGTAGTCAAAGTAATTGGAAGAGCTACCGGTAATTTGAAATATAAAGCACAAAGTATAAACCAGAGTGTTTAGGTAATTTTCCTCTTCTCACTCCCATTCCCATCCCACTTTTGCATGTATAGCATGTGTGACTCACATACGTTTCCTAATTTAACATCTTCCTAGTACAAATCATGTACTGTACACCCACACACATATTATATCCACCACCACCACAAAATAGCAGGATTCCTGGCTGACAGTTCTGAGAGCTTGGAAATCCTGTTTAAAGGGAAAAGACCACATGTCCAGTCACATTTGCAGCCAAATTGAAATGGCTATGGAGACACAAGGCCCAGGAGTGGATGGGAAGGTAGCACTTCCGTGTGTCTTTCGATGGGCTAATTGCAGCTGAGCTGGTAGCTCTTTTCACATGGTTCACTTTGAGGCATCCAAGATTATCTGCATGGGGATTTTTGTATTGGGAGAAGAAGGAAATCGTGAAACTTGGAACAACTAAGGGTGGCTCTGGGCTGGGGTTAAGATGGAGACAACATCATGTGAAGATGTCCATCAAACATGGTTAGCAAATAGTTCGTTTTCTTTATGGCCAGCAGGATGATATCCTCTTAGTTTTTTCTTAGTTTTAAAGCACTCATAAAAGCACCCTTTAAATGTATACTCCAACTTGAGCAAAGCATATTGCACATGTTATGATATATTCACTTGAAATATCAGTTTATGAGATGAATATCTCTCAGCTGTATCAGCACTCAATGTCTTCTTTTTTGTCTTTAGGGGAAGCTAAGAATCTTCCTACGTATCCAGGGCCAAATAAAATGCGGGATTGTTACTGTACAGTAAACTTGGACCAGGAAGAAGTTTTCAGGACCAAAATAGTGGAGAAATCACTATGGTAATATTTCACTGAATTTAAATTATTATTTCAGCATTTGTATCTTAATTTAGTTTAGGCACAATACTCTGTTTTGTGAAGTGAGAACTGTCATCAAGCAATTTGTAATATATATATAATAGAGCACAAACATAATGCAGAATGCTCAATAAAATCAACAGTTCCCTAGCAACTTTATTCCTCCAAATGTTAAAAATCCTCTGTTATATTTAGTTTTTGTTTTAATATATTCTATGTATGTACATTGCCTTTGCTCAGGAGCTTAAGGTAGTATACAAAATGCCATTCCTTCCTCCAGTATTTCCCTACAATTACATCCCTATGTGGTAGGCTGGGCAGGTAGAAAGTGATTGGCCTAGAGCAGTGATGGTGAACCTTTTAGGGACTGAGTGCCCAAACTGCAACCCAAAACCTACTTATTTATCACAAAGTGCCAACATGGCAATTTAATCTGAATAATGAGATTTGGTGAGGAATTTCAATCACTCTTTCACAACTTGACTTCTCCCTGGTGGCCCTGGACTTCTTTAATAGCACAACTCAGGAATAATGGGAATGTAGTGCACTAGCATCTGGAGGGCCATCACATCCTAATCCCTCCCTCCCTCCCTCCCTCCCTCCCTCCCTTCCTTCCTTCCTTCCTTCCTTCCTTCCTTCCTTCCTTCCTTCCTTCCTTCCCCCTTCCTCTGATTTCACCTTTCTTCCTTTAATCCTGTATATTATGGTTAGTTAATGTTTTTATGGTTATTATGTTATTGTTAGTTAAAGAATGCTGTGTATCTTAGAAGCTCTCAGCAAAAATAACAGCAGCTGTTGTTTGTGGCTGAAGCTATCCCAGGCTGTTATTTACACACACACACACACACACACACACACACACACACACCTATTTTTATTCCACTTTCTCTGGGTTCTTGGAAAAGGAATGGGATCTTTTCCCCATCCCCTTCTTTAATAAACCCTAACCCCCCCCCCCATGCAGCCTTTTAGCTACTATTGTCCCACCTTGCTTCCCCCTTCCCCTTAAAACAAGGCTAGAGAAGAAAGCCGGGAAGAGGGAATCTAAGGGGGAGGGAAGAAGAGACCCAGGCAGATCCCTCTCTGAATAGCCTCCCGCCCAGATTTCAACTGATTTCCTCTGCGATTCTCCGATGAACAGACCTCACCCCACTTTTTGGACTCTGGACTGCTGGGCCTTTATTTTTCCCATTTATTGGGGGAAATTGGATTTTTATTGGGTCTTCCCCCCACCCCACGCCAAAAGGAAAGCCAGATGGGCTTCTCCTCCTAGAAGCCCCCCTACCCTTCCCCCTGCTCCCTGCTCTCTTCCCCCTATCCCCTACTCAATCCCATTTCAGGACAGAGGAGAGTGCACTGGAAACACATGTTGGGGCAATGTGGGAGCACGCCTTCAGATGCTCTGGCGCTCGGCCCGCAACTCATCACGCTCCTCCAGGCCCGGCTTGCTGAGGGGCGGAGCAGCCCTGATGCCTTCGCTACCCCCCCCCCCCACGGCCACAGCCATCGCTGTCCGGATTTCTCAAAGGTGTGGCATATTTCAAAGGCGGCAGCTCGTGTCTGGAGGTGCCGAACAGCGGGACAGCTGTGAGAGCTTGGCCAGACCTCTCCATCATCCGACTCGCCAATGGGGGCATTTCTGTTGGGCCAGCCACCTCCCCCTCTGGGCTTTTGTGCGTAGCGCTTGGCCAGGGGAGGGGATGTTTCCCCACACCGCCTCCTTCTTTCTCTTGGCCCCGCCGACAAGGGAGGAGAAAGGCCATGTTTGGGGGATGGCCACCACCCTGCAAGATCTGCCCCTGCCGTTCTCTCCCAGCCCTCTTTGCAACAGCACATGTACCATGATGAAGGCGGAATGCTGTTGCCACGCAAAGGCAAGTACAGGGGTGCTTTGCTCCCGCACTAAGGCTCCGCACATTGCCACCGCAGTGACAAGGTGACAGCTCTTTCATCCCTCTGCTGTGACAGGGAGCCACAGCAGAGGGGTGAAAGAGCTGCATGGGTCGCATTGTGGCTCCGTGTCGTAATGGGCTTCAGGAGAGGGACGGGACCCCTCCTCCCCCATAGTGAAGCACGCAAGTGAAAAAGTTTACTCAATCAATTCCAACTTCGTGAGATTGAGTGAAATGCGATGGAGAAATACGATTGGAGCTGGGCTGGGGCAACGGCATGCGTGCCCACAGAGAAGGCGCTGTGTGCCACGGCTGGGACGCATGCTGTAGGTTCGCCATCATGGGCCTAGCCCTAGAGTCACCCGCTGTTGCTGAAGATGGCTGTGGGGAAGAGGGTCCATAGGGATTGTAGGGCTATGGGTGAGATTAGGGCCTGTGGAGGTACTACAGCCTACATACATACATACATACATACATACATACATACATACATACATACATACATACATTTATTTATTTATTTATTTATTTATTTATTTATTTATTTATTTATTTATTTATTTAGTCGTATTTCGATGCCGCCCAACTCCCAAGGGACATGAAATTAGGATGCATATTGCCAGGAAAACATGGATAGGAGAAGGCCATTAATGTATGGATAGAAAGTGGCCAAGTAAGAATTATGTTCTAAAATTGACTAATACTAACAGAAAGAGCTGCACCTTTACAGATTTCCTAAGCCTCAAGAGAGTAGGGATTTGGGAACAGAATACAGAAAAAGACCCTTTCCTGCTTTTAGGAAGCAGGCCTTGGGGAGAAAGACAGAATATTTAAATTAATATATACATTTGGTAACATCTGTCTGCACTGCTGAATATTATATTCAGGAAATAATTATATAAATATGCAGTTTTCCACTGTAGCAGAATTGCCACATGTCTTACTGTAGAAGAACATGGAAGGTTCAAACAGCAGCACAAGTTTCTACTTTACTTTTTACTTAACTGTTTGCAAATAATTCTGGACCTCATGACAAAACAGCATCTTTAAAGTCTGCAGTCCCAAACTTTTGCTGCCCAATTAGGTTATAGGAATCACACACACACACACCCTTTTTTTTTTTGGCCTTTTCTTCATCAGCCACATAGACATTGGTCTGCATTCATTTTTAACAAGCAGATTCATAACTGTCATGCCTGAAATGGGAGGGGGATTCTTTGGTATTGGGAACCAAAGCACCGTAGGCTGCCTTGTCTCAAGGTCTAATATTTGGTGAGACATGTTCATAAAAACACATTGATTGGGAGCAAACAGGGAAAAGAGCATCCATGATTAGCATTGTTAGGGATGCAGAATGATTAATTTTTCCCTTTTGTGTTTTGTTAGGCATATGGATGGAGAGCAGGATAGGTTAAAGAAGTACTTTAGTACAGTATGTGCAAGTGAACATCCAATGACAGATACACGATGAAACATGACAACATAAAATATGAAAACAATTTTTTATCACATCAGTTGACACATCATCTTAAACAACATATTCAACTTAAGGCTAAATGTGTTCGTTTTCTTTATTTTTTAATCTTTTCTAACATAGATGTTTAAAATTGGTTGGTTTTTAAAGGATTCTTGTGAATCAAAGCGAATTGATGGATTCTTTATCTCTATATATAAAAGCAAAAACCACTCATGCCGTAATCACGAAATCTCCAGAACCATAAAGCCTACAAACTTGAAATTTGCCACGTATGTTCCTCGTGGCTTCTAGGTGCTCACTAAGAAAGGATTTTTTGAAATGACCATCAGAGCATTAGTATTTCCTATATTATTATTAACACACTCTGATGCTAAGGAGTTCTACTCCCCCTCCCCACCTGAAAAGAAATCTATTCCAAATGCAAAAACGCAAGCAGAGGAGAGGAGTTTCACTTTCAGTTTTACTTTCACAGCAGGAAGCAGTTTTAATACAGAACACTTGAGCTAAGCCACGGCCAGGCTCCTTCCTGTCTCCTTCTTGCTCACACAGCAAATACTGATTCACTTTCCAAACAGCCCTCTGATGCTAAGAAGTTCTATTCCCCCTCCCCACCTGAAAAGAAATCTGTTCCAAATGCAAAACACAAGCAGAGGAGAGGAGTTTCAGCTTCAGTTTTACTTTCACAGCAGCAAGCAGGGGATAGGATAGGGGAGGCTTCTGTGGGCAAGGCTGAGGGAGAGAAGGGGATAGGATAGGGGAGGCTTCTGTGGGGTAAGGCTGAGGGAGAGAAGGGGATAGGATAGGGGAGGCTTCTGTGGGGTACGGCTGAGGGAGAGAAGGGGAGAGGAGAGGCCAATCGTAACTACTCATTAATTTTCAAGCTTTAAGTGTCAATTTATCAAACCCCATCACATAATTTCGTAGCTAAGCAAGGTATCCAGCTCTATACATATAAAGCATATTGTTGCATACATAATGCCTTACATCTAACATTTGGGCATCACGTTAGATTAAGTTTTTTCTCTTACAATATCATTATGACATTCATATGGAATGTGTTCAGAGGCTGGGAATATTCCATCTCCCAGACACACACTTTGCAAAGTTAGAAGTATGAGAGATTATGTACACTACCAAAAAAAAAAAAAATTCCCCCTCATGCATAGAAGCAGTTCACTAATAACTGTACAGCAAAACAAAGTTCTTTCAGCTTTACAGTGACTGGGCAGCAGTCCCACCTCAAGCTTTTTTCTCTTTAGAGAAGCGTTTGAATGTAGCAGCAGCAACAGCTTGAATAAGTTTTCTCTTAATTCTTGAATATATCTCCACATGAATAGACCACTAGTACATATTATGCTCCTCCTTTTCTCTGTCAGATTTTACATCTGAACCAGAGGTGGGTTTCAGCAGGTTCTGACCAGTTCTGGAGAACTGGTAGCAGAAATTTTTAGTAGTTCCGAGAACCGGTAAATACCACCTCTGACTGGCCCCGCCCCCATCTATTCTCTGTCTCCTGAGTCCCAGCTGATTGGGAGGAAATGGGGATTTTGCAGTAACCTTCCCTAGAGTGGGGAGGGAATGGAGATTTTACAGAATCTTTCCCCTGCCACGCC